CCCGCCTCTGACGCCCACTGTCTGGGACATCTTGCTACAATTCTTCTCAGACTTGTTACCAGTTTTAGCCCCAAGCTGCAGTCCCAGATCGCTATCCCAAACTAACCCCTGACCCCCACATGCCCTCATGACCTCGTTTCCGAGCATCACTTTCTAGCACTCAGCATTGCTCATTTGTATTTTAGTTGTTCAACTTTGCACAGAGTCAGAGTTCTGTAAAGACAGTGAATCCTCCTGGAGTCAAGAGGGCCATGGGACATTTGTCAAAGGACAAGAACACTGTGGCTCTGCATCTAAAGGCTTAATGTCTGTAGAAAGCCAGTTCATATACAGTTTTAAATGCTGAAGATAAGCATTTGTGATATTTCTAAGAAATACACTTTATACTTTTATAATACTATGTTTTAACCCAATGAGGTTAATACATTTATGTCACCAAACGTTCCATTGTAATTTTTCAAGGTACATTTACAAAATTTGTGTTTCTAAAGATGTTGGAGCTGTGAGCGATTCCATTGATAAACTAACTGATTGCTTTGTAAGCATTGAGGACTTGGGTTCAACCCTCAACTGCCGCCTAAACACTGGTAGTTCTAGTACTGAAGTAGAGATAGGAGAGTTTCTGGGTCTCACTGGTCAGCCAGTCCACTCTAATTGGTGGGCTGTGGGCCAATGGGCCCCTGTTTCAAGGTGGCTGGTGGTACCACGAAAATGACACCAAGGCTTTTTCTTCAGCCTAAGCACATGTATAGACACATGCACATTCATACACAGACATACACACATGCTGTCATTCACACGGACACAGACACACATGCACACCTTCTCACACATACAGAAGCTCACACACGTGTGCATACACAAGCACAAGCCCCAAGCACAAGCCCTCGCATAAATGAACACCTACAAGCAATCAAATGAATCAAGTGAAGTTTTACTTATACTACATTTTAACTCCATTTTGGTCTAATTTTTACATGCAACTCACATATAAAATTAATTGTGCGTGACTAAGTAAAGATGTACATTCCTATTTTGTGTGACATAGCATCGGGGTTTATTATTGTTGCTGTTAGAAGTTTAATTTAATCATTTTCTATATTTAAATTTTGTTCCAGTATGTCTTCCTCATGTAAAATTTCTAAGCATCAAACACCAGTGGAGATTCCCTGACTTTTCTCCCAGATAGCTTGTGCACCAGTATCCCTGCTCTTTACAGTGGGAGCACTATGGACAAAGTCTTTCTGAGTCTGTGTCGTCACTACAACTTCTGATTAGAGACTGAGTTGAGCAACTAAATGGAGGTTTGAGTTCTTAGAAGTAGGGCTACCAATGTCTGGAGTCAAACCTACTCGCAGCCACTTGCTTTCTGAAGCACCTGCCAGTGTTCTAGGCCGGAGAAGCAGTCCTTCTGTTGATGTTATCACACTCATGCCTGCCTCTCCATGGCTGCTTGATAAATGTCTGTGGATTGAACTGCTTCCACCTTTGGGGCACAAGGCTTTTCCAGGTAGGTGTTCTAAGGACCAGCTTTTCCCAGCTCTTCTCTCTTCTCCTTTCAGCTGCGGTCTAGCGCTGAGCTCCATCCAGATCTCCTCACCGACTGTCTCGCTGTGCAGCCTCTGCAGCCAGCCACTTCCCCCAGAGATGCTGATGGTGCCATGGGACACTCCCCAGGGCCAGGGCCTGGGCCTGAACTCTATCCAGGTAAGAATGTAACAGCAAATCCGTTTCACCTGAGAATTCATCCATGATCGTCTGTGCTCGCGGTCAGTAGTCTGCAGCTGTTCTCCTATGTTGGTTTGGCAAAGCAGACCTTCCTGTTCCTCATAAAGAAACAAGGCCAAATAACACATTAGTTCATCTTGTTCTGGGCTTCTGCCAGAGGTTCGGTGCACTAAGCCCTCCCAGGAATCTTTGGGACTCAGAGGAAATGGTTGGCCCTGAAGCAGGCAGCAGAACACACGCAGATTCTAAATGGAGCGGTCTTCATCATCTTTCCATTTTAAGTGGAAGCTCCAGGTAGCTACAGAAAACCTTGATTGTTTGTAAACCAGCTTGTAAGAATATCCATGAATGTCCCTAAAGCAAAGGGAGAGGAAGGGATGGTGCTCTAGATTTCTTGTCCACCTCGGTCTGAATCATAAGTGACCCTGTATTCAGAAAATTGTGGGTTGCTCCGAAAAAAGGAAGAGTAAGAGGGTTCATCGTTTTTCTTTGATTGCATTAGCTTGCAGTTTGGGTGCATTTTCAAGCCTCTATGATGGTGGAGGAGTTGAGCAAGCATAATTAGTTTTATCATTTTACACACAGAAAGCTCTTGCTGCAAGCCATCTGAAAGCAAGTTGCACTAGCACCCTATTCCAGACAATGAGACTTTTCTATTTTCAGTGACTTGCAACTCCACTTCCATCTGCATCCGATCCCACAGCCAGGTTGGCAACATGCTATTTTTTTCTTTTGCGAAGTGCTAATAAGCCTTAGAGAATGAAGAATGTACTGATGCATTGCAGTGGAATAGGAGAAAGGCATGCTTGTATTGGCTTTTTAAGCCTGACGGTTCTCAAGACGATCCGATGCAGAAAAAAAGGGCATCAAAGCAGTCGTTTCTGGAGCATCCGTCATCAAAACATTCTTAATCACGGTGAGCCAGCATCGAGGAACCTTTAGCAGCTTCTTAGGGACTTATTCACTGAAACAGCATGGCTTCGTCTCCTCTAGATCCAGAGATAGAGATTAAAACTTACTTGAATGGCTGACCAAATCTTAAAGAGATACATAGACACTTTATCAAATGCAAAGGACTGTTTTATAACACTATCAAAACATACTGAAAAACTTGATATTAGACATGAGTGAAGAGACATGGATAGCTTTTGTGTGCATAGGGGCTGTTGGTTTGCAAATTGATGGCACACGAACATTTCTCTAGCACACTAAATGAATCAACAATCAGGTTAAAACAACCTATGAAACATCCCTCTACTTCCTTAGGCAGTGAATATACCTTACTAAAGATCTGGAACTCAGAGTTAAGATCGAAGCTAATCAGAGGCAACTGAGAAACCTGCACACAGTAGCAACAATTTGCAAGGAGTGGCCAGTCTTGTCCCAAATCTTGGACACTACGACACCTGCTGCCATGGAAAATGTTGTCTGTATTGTATGCATATAACATATGATTCATTTTCAGCACTTTTATGTTGGACTGGGTGTGCATTTTTACATGGCAGCTAGTATTTTTAAAGTTTTGGAGTTTTCAACTTTTTAAGGTGTAGTTTTAGTTTGAAATGACTTTGTCATGCTGAATAGACTTCCACTTTTATTCTCGGTGCTTTTCTATATTTGGGTCTCAAAAAGATCTTCAGCCCTTGCCTTGGAGCCTCCAGCTGTAGCAGAAGCACTGTAGCACAGGCAAGGAAGCATACATTGCCACAGCCGTCCACATGGCATCTTGCAGTTGACAGGCATTTTCTGCTCTGAAATGTCCTGAACTAGGCAGGTGGTCACCTTACCAGCATTTCCCTGGGGTTTTATCTCTCCAGGCCGCTTGTAAGTGCCGGAGTTTATTCTCCTCACTTTCTGTCCGTTTCCCTTAGGTACTGTCGTACTTTCTTGGCCTCTGGATTATTTTTAAATAATTGATTATACCTTTTGATTTGCTGAGTAGGCAGCAAACCCAGAGGCAAAAGCAGACAGGGAGGAAAACTCTAAAACCAAACTTGCATGCCTTCTTTGTTAAGCTCTGGAAAGGCACACGTGCGGAGTGCACGTGCACAGCAGCTGCACGTGGGCTAACCGTCTGCAGGCACATACCAACCCGCGCGTGGCACATGGCAAAGGCATGCTGGAAACTCTCCATTCCTTAGGGAAAGGTGAAATCCGGATGGTCAAGTCTATTTGGCAAGGGTAAGAAGTGCTTGGAGATGGACTGGGGTGTGGTTCAGTGGCGGAGGGCTTGTAGAGCATGTATGAGACATGGATTCCATCTTTAGCACAGCACAGAGGGCGTGGTTGTTCTCTTTCCATTCTCTTAGAAAAATCAGGAAGATAAGTAACTCAAGAAAATACTTCCTTAATGATTATTATATGCCTTTCGTTGCTAGGAACAGGTCCGTGGAAACCTGTTGAGTATGTGTGAGTGTAGGAGGGGAAACCCTTAGATATGACTTGGAGCAGAATCATCCCTTAGATGTCACAGGATTCAGCACCCAGAAGGATCATTTGTACAGCATTAAGACGAGCAGGGAAGAAAGCCTACCCATGTCTACTTCCTTTATTGAAGCAGATTTCTGAGACTGATAAGAGAGTGGTTGATTGGAATAGATGGCCTGAAAAGATTTTCACTTTTGTAGACCATGCTGAGGGTGATTTTAAATTGTGGCGTTTACTTCTGCACTGTTGGAAGATCCTGGGCTCCCAGCAACTTTCTGCTGCTCAGTGGGCCCCCACGGTAGGGGCGGTGGTGAAAAGGCCCCGAGACTGGACCACTTCTAGTTTCTTTTCTGAGACTATGCCCCACATCATGGTCCAGGTCAGTGTGGGAATTCCAGGTGATTTACTGAGACTCTGAGAGAGAGGGTTTCACTGTAGGTCAAGTGTGAGCTCCACTTTCAGGGCTTTAGGACCAGTCCAGTATAAATCTGAGCTCATAGAATGAGCTGATGGAGTAGGCAAGTCTAAATTTAGTGAGGGTGCAGCAGCATGGACCAACTGGACCAGTGCCTGGTCTTGGCAGAAGGTCCATACACTAGCAATGGATGCCTCGGACAAATGATCTGTCCCATGTGTGGGCACAAAAGTAATGGCTCCCTCTGAACCACAGCTGTAACTGTGGACTCAATATGAGGTGACTTTAGTAAGCCTGTGACCTCGGTCATGAAGACTTGTGGCTAGATACTAGAATCATCTAGCAGAAACCCAATCCCTGGGACAGTCTGATCAATAGGGCTAAACTGCAAGTGAAAGCTGCCAGGTAACCCAAGAGGAGATGAGGCCTGATCCACCCTCATTCCCCCTTCAGTCCGACCTGGTGGATGGACACGCAAGAAAGAGACAGCCAGACAATGCAGGTTTCTCATGGGAAGGGTTTTGAGATATTTGAGTCCCACAGAAACTTCTATGAGATGGAGTGCTGATGCAGCAGAAATGAGAGACCTTCAAGAATGGTGTGGGGGGGGGTATTGATATGATTTCCCTTAGGTTATAAAGTAATCCTTATGTTTAGATCTAGTAAGTCCTATTGACCTATTCAGATTTTAATGTAGATTAAAATGTAGCTTTTCAAGGAAAAAAGGTTCTCTTTTTGTTCCACTATGTTATATAAGAGGGAAATGAAGGTTTCTTTGTAAAGTTCTTTGATGCCATTAGGTCTCCACCCCATTGCTGGGAGAAGGGAGCTTTTCCCGCTGCAATTATATCAGTTTTGTAATAAATAGCACTGTGTTAACATGCTTTATGAATAGTGTTTCATTTTAGTTTAATCTCATGTTATATGTTTTAACGTATTCTCTACATTCTTAAATTTAGTACATTTGCTGTCTTTGGACAGCTTCTTAGAAAGCTGTAAATGTTGGCTCTAATTTTCTGTGAAAGTGCCTCCTATGGTCTCTTCTCAAAAACTGGCTGCTAATTTAGAGGGTGGCCATTAGAGACCTCTAAACTGACACACAATTTCCCAGGAGATTAAATTTTACAGGGGAAAGCTATAAAAGACAAGCATAGCCTGCATTAAAGTCTTCAGAAAGACATAGAACATTGTGAAGCACATGTATATCTCTTGCACTATCTTCAAAAGCATTGTTTTGCTTGGAATTCACAAAGGGGAGAAAGCAACCGAGAAACCTCGGAGTAGGGGTGGGCAGAAGGGAATGGAGACAAAGGGAATTTAAAGGAAATACCTGACGGTGTTCTCATGATGTCTCCCCTGGTAGTGTCTTGAGCTGTCATCAGAAACTGGGTCACTTTAACGCAGTGGTTCTCAACCTTTGGGGCGTGACCCCTTTGAAGGTCAAATGACCTCACAGGAGTGACATATCAGTCATCCTGCATATCGGACAACTGAGATTCATAGCAGTAGCAATATCACAGTTATGAAGTAGCAATGGAAGTGATGTTATGGTTGGGGTCACCAGAGCATGAAGAACTGTATTAAGGGGTTGCAGCATTAGGAAGGCTGAGAACCACTGTATAGAGCAAGCAGTTCCTGTCAGTGATTGTCTGTTAAGTTGAACTGAAGTCAGCGACAGTAAGAACAAGCCCCATGTCCTCTACTGTGGGCGCTAGCATCCCTAACACACAGTTTTAAACCTGAGCCAGTCCAGCAGTGTATATAACGTCAGCAGACAGCCTTATAAAAGTGCAGCTTTCTGAGCTCACCCCTGGAGTTTCCGATTCAATAGTTCTGAACAATCTCAGAGATTTGAACCTCTGCCAGATTATTCTAACAAGTTCCCAGGTGTTGCGGGATGCTGTTGTCATCCAGGCAGCTCACTTTGGAATCCATCCTCTGAATCACAATATATGAGATGTGGCTTCTACAAAACCCCATTTGAATTTTATCGAGGGTTACTAGAGTATGGGTCACTGTGGAGAACACATACATGTTACTCACTGTAGAAGTCTGTAGAAGGCTTATGTTTTGTTTGTTTTTAAATTAACAGTGAGCTTTTATTATGCACGCTTCATTAAAGCAAATTAAAATGTTG